CACCCTAAAAACAGCCCAGAAACACCCCAAAAATGGCCCAGAAACGGCCAGAATTCACCCCAAAAAATACCCTGAAATTACCCCAAAAACGGCCCAGAAATGGCCCTGAAAATACCCTGAAAACGGCCCTGAAAACACCCTAAAAAAACTCTGAAAACGGCCCAGAAATGGCCCAAAAATGGCCCTGAAAATACCCTGAAAAAACCCTGAAAACGGCTCAAAAACACCCTGAAAAACAGCCCAGAAATGGCCCTGAAAACACCCTGAAATAACCCTGAAAACAGCCCAGAAACACCCCGAAAAACGGCCCAGAAACGGCCCTGAAACGGCCAGAATTCACCCCAAAAAATACCCTGAAATTACCCCAAAAACGGCCCAGAAATGGCCCTGAAAACACCCTGAAAACGGCCCAAAATAAGCCCTGAAAACAGCCCAGAAACGGCCCTGAAAACACCCTGAAATTACCCAAAAAACACCCCAAAACCAGCCCAAAAATGGCCAAAATTCAGCCCAAAAAACATCCTGAAATTACCACAAAAACGGCCCAGAAAACACCCTGAATTTACCCCCAAAACACCCCAAAAACAGCCCAAAAAACACCCCAGAAACAGCCCAAAAACAGCCCAAAACCACCCTGAAATTACCCAAAAAACACCCCAAAAACAGCCCAAAAACGGCCCAGAAATAGCCCAGAAACAGCCCAAAAAACAGCCCAAAACCACCCTGAAAACAGCCCAAAAAACACCCTGAAATTACCCAAGAAACAGCCCAGAAATGGCCAGAATTCACCCAAAAAATACCCTGAAATTACCCAAAAAACACCCCCAAAACAGCCCAAAAACAGCCCAAAAAACACCATGAAATTACCCCAAAAACAGCCCAGAAATGGCCCAGAAACAGCCCAAAAAATGCCCTAAAAACAGCCCAAAAACGGCCCAAAACCACCCTGAAATTACCCAAAAAACACCCCAAAAACGACCCAAAAAACGCCCTAAAATCAGCCCAAAACCACCCTAAAAATGGCCCTGAAAACACCCTCAAAACAGCCCAAAAACACCCTAAAATTACCCAAAATTCGCCCCAAAAAACACCCCAAAATGGCCAGAATTCACCCCAAAAATACCCCAAAAACATTCCAAAAAACCACCCGGAAATTACCCAAAATTCGCCCCAAAAATCCGCCCTGAGATGGAAAAAATCCCCCCAAAAATCCACAAAAAACACCCCAAAAAACACCCCAAAAACAGCCAAAATTCACCCTAAAAAATATCCCAAAAATGGCCAGAATGCACCCCAAAAATACCCAAAATTCACCCCAAAAAACACCCTAAAATTACCCAGAGTTCACCCCAAAAATCCGCCCTGAAATTGAAAAAATCCGCCCCAAAAATCCCAAAATTCACCCTAAAAATCCCCAAAATTCACCCCAGAAATCCCCAAAATCCACCCCAAAAATCCCCAAAATTCACCCCAGAAATCACCAAAATCCACCCCAAAAATCCCCAAAATTCACCCCAAAA